AAAATTCATTAATTAAAATATTTTTAAGGAAGATGTTGTATTTTAATTGAAATTTCATTACATGTGCTCATAATTATGAAAAGTAGATTTATGAATAATTTTATAATTTATTTAACAATAAATTTAGTTAATAATAACTTGAATTTGTAATTTATAGCAAAAAATTCTTCTTTAAAATTAAAACCACAGTAAATTTGTGCAAATTAAAAGACGCACCTGTAATATTTCCAAATATTTATTTAATATTAATGTAATTGGAAATACTTGAGGAATAAAATTTTTAAAATAAAAATTATTGTTAATTCAATATCAATAAATAAATTTTTCACAAAAAATTTACCACATAAAAAAAGAAGACTCAACATTTTGTTATACGAGAATAATATTTTCCTTAAATTGAATACATACATTTAACTTAAAATTTTGGGTGGTCTAATATTTTAAATTAAAATTGTACCTTCTGCTCTTTTAAAACAACATAATTTTTTTACAGTTTCTTTGTGTAATCTAAACTACAGCTCGAATATATTAATATTTTCATAAATGTAATAAAAATCATAATTTATAGCACACGATTTTATATACGTTCTATAATTAATATTAAAAATAAATTTTTTTTTTATAAATAATTCATAATTTAAAATCAGACAATTTTATATTCGAATACTTATGGTTTGCTTGTACGCCCAATTATAATTCATAATGTCCAATTTTTGATAATGGTCAAAAATATTAAAAAAATTTTAAATTTTAGATCATATACGTTAAGTATTCATCCATATGAATGTATGTATGTATTTATTAACAAAATTCTTATTAATTATATTTTTAAAATTATCAAAAAATTTTGAAAATAAATTTTCCACCATATTCCATTTAATTGTAACAAGTCCGAATCCAATTAAGCCTCTGATATAATATTTGTTTGCTCATGTACATATATATACATATACGAGTATAAAACACATTTATATATTATGGTATATAGAATTATTTACTTTCTTCTTTTTTTTTTTTTGTATATAATAATATTATTTTTGAACACACTCCTATCTATCATAAATCAATTATTTATTTAAGTATATCAATAAACCATGATATCAAAATTTTTCTTATATTCATGTACGAATGGTCTAAAAGAATACAACGGAACATCCCCAACACATTTCTCTTACAATCTGTTATATATCTGTTATATATATCTGTTATAAATACATGTTTATTACATAAGTACGAAAATAATATTCTTATAGGTTCTTTCTTTTCTTAATTCTTTCAGTTACATTGTTATAAATATCATCATCATTGATCATTTTTTGTATATTGAAAGGATTAACAAAATTTATAAATTATATAATCAGTTTGTTGGTCCTTTTTAATATATTTTTATTAAAAAATTTCCATTTTTTTTTTTTTAAATAAATAATGAAGGGTTTCAGAACTGTTTTTTTTTTTGGCAATTTAAGTTTACAATTTTATTTGCAGATGTAATCAATTGCTTTTGGTTTTTGTTCATAATTTATTATAATATTTTTTAATATCCAATAATAATTTGACGGACGCCATCCGCTATATATTCGTACACCATATTATCATTAAAATTAATATCGTTAAGTTAAAGACCTCCAAAGGAGCACACGATTTCAATATAATATTGAATTGAAATTACTTTGTATTATAGTTATATTTTTTTTAATTTAATAATTCAACTGCCCACTTAAGTAGTATATCAGGATCATAAGTTTTTATTTTTTTGTTTGAGTATTTATTGTATGTGCATGTACAACATTGTAATTGTCCATATTTTTACTTGTAGCTTATACATTAATATTTTAAAAATGGTATGAAATATGCCGAGAATGCCCAATTGTTGAATAAAATCAATTTTAATTTTCTAAAAAATATTTTTAATATTTACCCAGGACCACAGGACTGATACGTGATATCGTAGATAGTCTTATCCCATATATTCGTACGTCATTAGGTTTTTAACTAGGGTAGGTGGTAAGGCTTCCGTAGCTTTTTCCTTATATTAAATTTTTAAAGTTATTGATATTTTTATTGTCTTACTGGAATTTGAATCTGAGATCCTTCAACTAAAGTATCATTCTATTTTTAAATATTAATTATTAATTAAATAAATTGTTTGCACAAATATAATTTTCTTGAAGTAATATTGAATTATTGCATCCTCTACTATTTTAAATTTCTGTTAAATTTAATTATATTCAACAATACCTATAAGATAACCCCTAAAATAACTCAAAAATGAGTTGGAATTATTATGATATATAACAGTTTATGGCATATTTATATTAATTTATAACATTTATATGGAAAATTTAAACAAAACTCACAATTTCTAGCCGGTATTCAGTATACACAATAATTTTCAAATATTTATTAAAATAATATTTTGTATAAAATTTTTAATCTTTTAAAACATTTAAAATAATAACTGCAATGAATTGAAAATAATTTTCTAATATATTAAATTGTATAGTTAAAAAATAATTTTATATAAACTTTAGAAAAGAAATAATAATATTTTATTTAAGAATTTCTACTTGTAGTAATTTTTAACTTTTTTTTTTTATTTTTTAGTTTTTAATCCATGGGAAAAATTCAAACTTTTACATTGGAAAATAAATATATATAACAGTTGTGTATATAACAGATATGTAAGTTCCTAATACTAATATTTTTATAAAATATTAACCATATTAAAATTTTCAAAGTATTTAAAAGTCAAAATTTTTAACATTACCTTAGGTTATTTAAAATGAAAAAAAAAAAAAAACTCATAAAGATTATAAGAATAATTTTTAAAATTTTCCACAAAGATTGAAATTTTCTTTTCTCTTTCTACTTTTACATACATATTTCTTAAGTTTTAATGTTTTGAAGTTTATCACAGAAAAACTAAGAAAAAGTTTAAAACTGTTAGTAAAATAAATAAATATAATAAATTATAATTTAGTTTTTTTTTTTACCATTAATTTTGAATATAATATAAGAAATTTTCTATACTAGTATATTATGACCATTTCTGTATGTGTAGTATACCATAATATCCTTTATCTATTAAACATCATGTTGTCTGTTATGAATTCCAAAAAAAGTTACCACATATTTCAACTATTAAGACCGATACTTAATTCCTCATTCAAAAATTTTTAAATAATATAACAAAATAAATTTTTATAATACTTATATGACCTCAACTTATGCATTATATTATATTGCGTTTATTAATATATAACGTATACACGTACATTATAAGGACCATTAGCCTTAAGTTAAAAATTTTTTCTTATATGCAAAGGATAAGTTCCTTACATGCAAGTAACGCATTAAACAATTATTATCCTTTTACCATGTATTTCATTTTTGTAAATCTTATGATTCTATATTAAAAGAAAAACGATTAAAATACGGGCATGGTGTTGTTGATACATTTAGGTAGTTGCCTAAAATTTTTATGTACATTAATATATATTTTTTTTTTAAATGAATTTCAAAACTTTTATGAAAAATTTTTGTAATTTTTTCATTTCTTTTTACTGGTATAAAAGTTTTAAGAAAAAGAATATGGTTTATATTTAAAATAAGGATGTTAAAGTTACTGTATAAATTTGTTATATACATGCGTATCTGATTATATTTTATCTTTTAAACTTTTCAATAAACTTTAAATTTTCATTCATCTAGCCTTATACTATTATGACATAGGATATTAAGTCTACGTTTTTATAATACTGGCATATCTTCAGAGCGCCTATCAAAATATTTTGTTTTAAGTTTTGTAAATTTATGTTGGTTATTTAAGTTTTTTTTTTTCCTAAAATAATTTAAAGAAAAATATTTAAAACTTTCATACCATTTTTACATATTTTTGAATCTCATATATCTAACAATTTTATTTTATATACATATGTATTTAAGCATTAATAGCTGACGATTGTATTAAAAACTTAAAATAAAATTACAATTATAATAATTTGTCATAATTTCCTTGAGTATTTTAAGAATTTTTAGATGTTACATTTATACAAATTTTATAATTAACACCTATCATATAGAAAATTAAATATTTTAAAGACTACTGAACAAATTTAATATACCCATAGATTATCATGCTTAAATGCTCAAAAATTATTGCAAGTTATGAAAATATTTAATTAAATTACCGAATCAAAACCGGTAATGAATTCAGACATGAAATATAAATTCATTATTCTACTTCAATTTTAATATTTTGTCAATCCTTTTCTAATTTATTAGAATAAAATAAAACAAATTGCAATTAAAGTTGTTTTTTTTTTTTTTTATTAGCGGGAAGAACTTTTATAATATTAATTATTTATTTATATTTATATATAATACATTTATTCATTATAATTTAATTTGTGATATATATGTTCATAAATATATTTAATCAGTTATAACATTCAAATAATTTTCTTCTAATTATTATATTGATTTTTTTTTTTAATTAATTTATGTCAATTGATAATTTTAACAAAATTGATTAAAATTCATTAATAACATGTTAATAAATTAAAAAAGAAAAAATAAAACATTTACAGGAATATAACACCACTAAATAACAAAGATAATTTATTTATTTATTTTTTTTTTTTTCATTTTTGAAATATAATATACATACTTATATTGAAATATTATGAAAATGAATTTTAATTAAATTTCCCTAATAATTAGAGATCATAAATTAATCCACATACTCATCACCAAGATATATTTTTTTTTAAATGTTATCTACATATAGATTTTAAACATAAAATATTTATATGTACTCGATACTAAGAGGAAATAAACAAAAAGAGAAGCTAAAGAATTCTTCATACAATATAAAATTTGTCCAATTTACAATGTTTTATTACAAAGTTATTATTTTAAGATTTTTGTATACATTTCTGTTAAGAAATCAACCATAATTTAGTCTTTAATTTCTTTTTAGTATATGTATAGTTTTGTAATTTTTTTTTTTTTGCATTAATTTAATAAGGAATTTGATTTTGATAATACTGTATCATATCGTATGTTCGTGTTCGTATATTTTGGAATGAATTTCTTATTACCGCTAACATATGGGCTGCAGCCTCCTTATTATTCTTGTTAGGTGCAAACCTTTGTTTTAATAAATTAATTGTTTGACCACGGAAACACGGTAAACCTGTATCTAACATTAGTGATACCAATGATACAATTGCGTCTTGATACGGACGTATCGCTAAAAATGCTTGTACGCATAATTCACAGAACCATTTAAATGCTGGTGCTTCCATTTTACCACCCATAATCAATATCATTTCATCAGTTAATTTAATATCAGGTTCAAATCCAATATTACCACCAGGTGAAGATTCAAACATAAAGCCAAAATCTGAATAAAAATTTAAAAAAGAATATGTTAAAAACTCGGCAAAAAAAAAGCTTTTGTTTTTATTACTTTCGTGTTAGATTTTTTCACTGAATAATATTTGTGTTAAATAAAAGTTGTGACTGAATTAAGTATCAATGAACATTTTTAAAATTACCTATATGAATAATATGCCCATCTTTATCAATCATAATGTTCCCATTGTGTCTGTCTTTAATTTGTAAAAGATAACCAATTACAGAGTATGCAGCCATTGATTTAGTAAAATTCGCTAACAAAAACATGCAAATTGAAAATAATTATATAAGTTATTTTTAAATTACCAAAATTTATATATTTACCACGAGCTGCTTGAAATTCTTTACAGCTCTCATCACCATATTGATGCAAAAAATACTCATAAAGTCCCGAATCAGTTTGTCGACCAAGTTGATCACGAGATTTAGCATTAGGGACACATTCTATTACACCACACTAAAATTCAATTAAAAATTAAAATCTTACTTAATGTAACTAAAAAACTGGAAAAAAAATGATTTACGCCTGGTGCTGTTGCTACAACTCGATATGGAAATAAAAATAAATCTAATCCAATATGTTGAAAGATATTTTGAAATATTGTTATCACTTGCAAAGCTAACATATCCTGTCTTACATCATCGCCTACTTTGAAAATAGCAGCCTGCCAAGATTCAGCACCCATAGAAGTTTTTCGAATACTTTCTTGAGCATCCTTAAAATAAATTTTTTAATATGACAAATACTACAAATCTGATATAAACTCTTACGGGATTATTTGAAACTTCCATAGCAATTGATTCTAACTCAGAAATACCACACCTATAAACTTTAAATCTAGCCAAGTAGGGTGCTTTGGCTGCACTTTGCATTGGCGTTCCACTGTTGTAATCTATGTCGATTACCATTGCTTCTGGATTCGACGGCAAATAACAACCACTTTGTACTTTTATTTTACTTAAAACTTCTAAACAAGCTTTCTTTCTAGCTGGTCCCTTAGGAAAACTACGGATTTCTCCCGACACAGCAGTTATTTTGCCAAAGAAATCAAATTCTCTTTCATAGAAACGTTTAGCAGCACCAGAAAATCCTGAAATAATATTTCCACTAAGAGCTTCCAGTACATCGTATAAGAGGGGATCTTTGTGTAATTGATCTTCATCCATATACATATTTGTTTGCATATTCCAAATTAATTGATGAGCGACAACCTGCGAACGCTTAGATATATTTTTTACGAATTCTGAAACATAACCCATTGTATCATGTCTTAGTGCTTGAACCAATTGAGGTATATATGGTAAAACAGCTTCCGCAGGATAAGAAGATAATGTTCTTACAGCATATTGAGCTGTGAGGGGATGATTTGGATATTGACGAGAAAAATATGAAAGAGCTTGAATTGGATTAACTGGAGCCCAATTCAACATATAAATTAGATCAGGTGATTCATTCAAAAGATTTTTCGTGGTTACTAAATATTTTAGAGCTTCTGGAATATGGGACACTGAAATTGGGTCTACGGTTATTAAGCGAGCAACTTCGTCCTCGATAGACTCAGCATTACGTATTCTCTAAAATTTTCACATAAAAGTAATTTTTATTTTTAATTTCGTCTCAATTTTAGATCTTATAATTAATGTTCTTACTTGTGGTAAAAATATTGCTAAAGCTGGGTTATAGGACCAAGCCAATCTTGTATAATCTTTCCATACATTTACTTTTATTGGTCTTGCACGCCATTCATTAATTTGATCTTCTCCAGTTATGAGAAGATCCTGGCTTCCATTTGGGTTATACCATGTTATAAGAAATTCAATCTCAACAGCTAAAAGCTCTAAAATCAAATTCCGCTTCTTCATATAATCTTTATCATACGCATCCTTTTGGAAAGGTAATCTCTTCGAACGATTTGATCTTTTTGATAAGGTAGATGTTGAATGAGGAATCGTGTTATACCAACCTCCAGCGTAACTTGATGTTGATCTAGTTAACTCTCCTGTGCTAATTATTGATGCAGTTTCAGGATTTTGTTTGACTGACAGCATTTGAGAAGTTGGATTAACGTCGTTTGTATATTCTCCAACCTCTGATGCAACTAAATGCTTCTTTTCACTACGCATGGTCTGCCAGAACTTTAATAAAATAATGATATCATCTAAAAGTTCTTCTTTAGGTTTGCTTGGACATGTTTGAGGTCCACAAAAATAATCTAATGCATTACTGTATATTCTTTCGCGCAAAATATTCCGAGCTAGAGATTTGGGAATAGTGTTCCCCTGAAGTAAAGAAAGTCCACATTGCAAAAGCTTAAACCGACACCCTACCGCATTCACAGACCTGACTTGCTTTGATGCTTTTGCAATAGGCAAGCACCTATGCAAAAGTAAGCAAAACAATTCAACTTTATCGCGATTGCAGTATTTAGCAGTATCTACCATTTCGGATAAAAGTTGCAGCCAGATTGAATGCGGTGCAACTATTACAGGTTTCGGTACTAAATTACAGCCTTCGTAGGCTGCGAGTGGACTTGTAACTTCTTCTTCTTCGGAAAATATTCCCAATTTCTTGTCGAACGTGGTTTGCCATGCGCTTATCATTTCTTGTATAAAGCAAAGTTCTAAATCCTGTCGTGCAGTTAAGACCCATTGCCAGCAATCTACAGCTGTTTCCATAGCAGATTGTGTAAATAATTCAACTTGTGATGTAGCTAATATAACAAAAATATAAGTTTTTTTTTAATTCTTTCAATAATTTTGAAATTCAATTGCAACTTACCAACGGCGTGCAATAACTTTCGATTTATCCCTTGAGAATATATTAAATACGCAGTTGCTCTCCAAAGAGCCCCTCGATGTTTGGTATCATTTTTATCAGCACAAGCTGTCAAAACATCTTTCACTAAACGATCAGCGAGTCCGCATTTTTCCTCTTCACTTAATACCGATAATTGTCCAGCAATTTCACCTGCATATTTACTTCTCATACAGAGAACAGCGACGAACCGTGGAGTGTCAGACGTCACACAATTTGGTCGTTTATTCGTTGAAGGCAAAGCGTTTGAAGGATAATTGCTACTACTAACTACAGAATCAAAGGCCAGCGCCAATCCAGAATGTCGTGACAATACAGTGATTGGAATAATATTAGTATATTCTTGTAAGTGTGATTTTGTAGATTTTGGAGCCCATTTCATAGCCTCATTTACAATACCCTGGCAACGATCTGCAAAATCTTTTAAACGTCCCTCACGAGCTGGAAGAGTATCCATCAACTGCAATGTATAAGGTGTTGAGCCAACTCGAAGAGTAGGGCTTTCTTCATTTGGATCTATTGTCAAGGAATAAGCTAATAACTGAAGCACATCTAACATACACCACAAAACTCTTCTGTTCCATAGTAAGTGAGGAAATTTATCTACCAATTGAGCCAAATATTGATCGGCAACTAATTGTATTTGTTTATGAATGTGATTGAAATATACAAGTAATAACATTGCTTGGGATTCCAAAACTTGTTCACGAACTTGATCGTGGTTAAGTAAAACGTTCCTAAACTTATCAAAAACTTGATCAGCTATGCATTTGACACATTGCCACATACCATATTTATCTTTTTGTAAAGCAGTGTCACATAAGTAACTTAATATTGGTTCCAAACTGGGTTCTTCAGCATTTTCCACCCTAATAAATAAAAACTTATTCCAAATTATTCAATATTTAAAAAAATTTAAACGTTTACCTTAAGGTTTCTAACCAATATACACTCAATAAGTATGTGCATTGTGCAAATGTTAACTTATGTATCCATGCAGTTACATCTGCTGGTGGATGATCTAAGCATAACAAAATTTGGCTTCTTAATTCGTTTAAATTAACTGAGTCATTTTTTATCGCTGACGTGTAATTGAGCTCTCTCATTTCGCCTTTATAAGCTGTTTGAGATATTAACAAAGGCGATTTTGCTGCTATTTGTTGTACACCTTGATACCAATCTGCTGGCCATAACCGTGAATTAGTAAATCCCATAACGACACAATATAGCCAAAAATCTTTAAACAATTTATGTAAACGCATTTTTGGATTTTTTATCGGTGGAAGTCTTCGTACAAGAACCGCTATTACTGGAATGAGCATTCCTAAATTACCAGCACTTGAACTTGCCTTTTGTGGTCCTGATGCGTTATTATCATAAGATCGTTCACCCTCTAAACCAATTTGAACAAATAATTCAAGCAATTTTCCTAAGAGATCCAACATTTCTGTTTCTCCTTGTATATTTCCAGCTATGTTTCCAAGTGCATTAACTACTGCATCGGAAACGCTATGATATTGTTTACGATATTCTTGACTTGACGAATTGTAAGCTAATGATGCCGATTGAACAGTTACTCTTGAAAACATCTTCATTATTTCTTCGCATATATGAGGTTCACATTTTGAAATGATTATACAACCAAGTTGATCCACAATCAAACAATTTTGTTCAGATGGAACTTTACAAAATCTTTGAATAAAAAACTGTAAAATATTTTGTGTAGTTTTTGGAGTATCTTTTAAAGTGACTGCCACATGTCCCAACATTACTATAATATTCAAACTAACCAAACTTGATTCACTAAAAAGGAAAGTTTGCAATAAATTTGATATTAAATAGGTTAAAAAAATTTTCTTACGATTCACTCTTTTCTGCAGTAAACAATCTATTTGAAACATTTGCTACTAAAGCTGGTACGCAATAAGGATCTAATGTTTGAGCAGCACTTAGAGCTATACTTAAGTTTTCTATTGCAGCATCGCGCAGTGCTTCAAATGCTGCAACTCCTGATTTTACTGTTCCAACAGTTGTATGTAAATCCACAGACTTCGCATCGTTACTTGCTTGCACAACAATTTTATAAGGTGCAATTTCTTTATCCTTTTTCTGTTTAGCTATCGTTTGCGCATATAATTTTGCTAAAATTGGACTGGGGTCCACAAGAAAATCTCTTAAGTAACAAATTGAAGTGCCAGCAATATTCGGAAACTTTTGTGCCAATTTTCCTAAACCCTAAAAATTTAAAACAAAATTAGATCATTAATGTAACAAAATTGAAAGCTTTTTGAAGAAATGGAATACCTCCAAACAAACCATCAATAAAGGCATATGATCCAAAACTATTTTATGACTTAAACTTGTATTAAGTTTTTGCGATAGCCTAGAGCATAATTTATCGGCTTCTGCACAAGTTTAGTAAAAATATTAAAAAAAAAAAGAAAGTAATTAAAATTATATTACACAAAATAGAATTTATGTTTTCGGAATGGATTTGGGAAAACAAAAAAAAGCTGACTGAACTGATTTATTTCATAAATAATGATAATCATAAGTTGAAAATCAGGTTTCGGATTGAAAAGAACAAAATACAATTTTAAGACAAACTCATGCTATGAAATTCCCACTCATGTTTCCTTTTTTATTTGAATAAAAAAAATGTAGTAAATGCAATTGTTTAGTCAAAATGAGATTTTCTTTTTATCATACAGTACGAGTATTAGGTATAACTTATTTAATTTTTTCAAATAGTTCATGATCTATCTAGTACAATATTCTTGGCGTATTTATACAATCCATATAACTACTGGATAATACGTCTTGATTTTATTCCAGTTAATTTCGCTATGTATAGAAAATATTTTTAACAATAAAACACCAAAAATTTATTCAATCAAAACTTAAAAAAAAACTGCACCCAAAATATAAAAATAACCTTTCTTTAAAATATAACCTAAACCAGTTTGTAAAGAAGGAATACTATATTCTCTGTCAACTGAAAATTTTAATATCGAAAAATTTACAACATTAAATCTTTAAAAAACATTTGTTTAATTAAATGACCAAAATAAATTTACCAGTTTCATCACGAATAGCCCATACTAATAAATCAACACAAGCAGCATTAGCCATAACATTAATTTTCAATTTATTTACTATGGTTGCGGTTGGTTCTTCGCGTTTTTCCTTTTCTTGATCTTGTTGTTTACTTTGTAATTCAGTTTGCCCTATTAAAAATAAGCGTTTAACGAATTCTTGTACATCTTTTGTAAAAGGAGTTGGTAAATCAGATTGATTATGAAGCAATTCTCGCATTAGAGTAACCATTATTAAATTAAGAGTTTCAGAAAAACTTTTATAACAATAGCTTTTGATTTGATGTAATGCAAATATATCAGCCGCTTGTTCATCTAAATGTTCTAAAATTTCTTTTGTCAATAATTTCTTTGCAATTGCAAAAATTGTTTGCAAATGTTGTATACTGAAACAATTTATTTTCTGCTTTTTAACCGGTGTTTCTGTTACTCTCATGTTCGGAAATTGATTAAAACTAGAGCCAAATTTGCTAAAAAAATGTGTTGTAGGATCGTATGGCACAGATGAATATGTGTGCAAAGATGGTCGTTTCGATTCATTAATAGTGGAAGCATTTCGTAATATTCGGGATTCATTTGAAGAATCTTGACTTAAGCTTCCTGACATTGAACGTGGTATAATCGGTCGGAATTGACTCAGTGATGTTAACTTTTCATTTGAACTTCCTAAAGTTGATTCTTTATTTTTAACAACAGGCATTTCTTCGGGTGGAAATATTCTGCATAAAAGTGGAGGATCTGTAGTTGTATAACGACCCATCGCCCTTGCCAAACCAAAAAGAAGTGGTACTGTGGCTTTGCACAGTATAATTGGAGGAGGGGCATTATTACCTTCTTTACTTGATTTTATTATATTCGAAAGAGCGCTTAATGTTTCGACTTGATTCATTACAATTTCTTCTCGTAAATCTGGACATTTCGTTGCTATATCGGATAATAATGTGTTTAAACAAAAGCTAAATTTTTCGGATGAAGGTATTCCTAAAATGAAAAATCGGTAGATAAAAAATGTTTGCAGATTTTATAAGCTTTAATTAGAAAAATTAACACGTCATGTAAATGTTAATGACTCACGATCCGTTTTAACATGTTTTCCATCATCGACCCAAACTGCTTTAGGCAAAGCTTTAGCTAGACGTAAAAGATATGGAACAATTTCATCTTCATGTTGACACTCGGATTCTAAAAAATATAAACCCAAGGCTATAACAGCATCTTGACTTCTTGAATCTAGGCAAAATACTCCGACAGCATTTTCTTGTGGACAATATCGAAATAATGATTGTACCTTAAATTTAATACGTATGAATTCAAGTCTTAGAATTTTTTTTGTACTAACAATAACTAATTACAAAAAGTTAAATCAATAGTTTACCTTAATCCATGGAGTTGGTTTAATTAATGCCAAAACCCTTGCTAAACTTTGTACTGTCCTTTGAAATGAAAATCTATCTGCATATCCGTTCATTTCTACATGTAAATATTAATTTGGAGTTTTAAATTTTTATTACTTAATTTTAATTTAATTTTTTCCGATTTTACGTCATTTGGGATTAAAATGTTTTTTTAAGATTAAAACTCATTGAAAATGAAAACACAATAACTATCGCCGCTTCAAAACTGCAAAAGCGATCTTTCTTTTCTATTTGATCTAACGTACAAACTTACGAAAAATCAAAAAAAAATATTAACACAAATAAGGTATTATTTTAAAAACCATAAAAAGAAAATATTAGCTCTAAAAATATATAAAAATTTTAATTTTATTTAAAAAAATATTAAAAGTTTCGGCGCTTTGGTTTTGTTTACATCGCTTTAGCTAATAGTGCTTCTATGTTTATTGAAACAGCTGAGAGATGAATTGTCAAAAATATTTATTTGTTGTTTTTATTATAAATGTTTTGATAAGAGGACTGTCATAGTTTGACATCTGCAAATGTTTTTATTTGGAATTTCAACGAATTACGTAAGATGGCCTTCTGTTTACTAATCAATTTATGAACTATCTCCAATTTGCAGAAAAATTGAAAATGACATTCGCCGCCAGATTTTTTTGGTTTTGGCGCCATTAAATTCATTCTGATTTATAAAGAGGATAGTTGTTAGTTCTCGATTTGAAAACAATTTTCAATATTAAAAAATTAAATAAATTTCTTTTTAGTATTTTGCATATTTTGCTGTTTTGAAAATTATAAAAAATGTCAAGTCCTACATCATCTTTAAGAACTCCGAATCGGGGTAATAAAACTCCAACAAGAAATAGAAGTCAATCATCACTATCTTCTTCGCAACAAGATACTCCTATGAGAATGGGACCAAATGCTACTAACAATGACAACATTAGCATATCTCAAACATCCCCAAACCGCACTTTACCACCAACAAGTCCAGGAAGATTTGGTAGTAATATGAGTGAAATTGATTTAAGCTCTCCTCTGAATTATGGAACACCTAGCTCAATGGGTTCTGTCCGTACTCCAAGGTCTGGCATACGTGGTACACCAGTACGAGTACGGCCTGATATCAGATCAGACAAAAGAATGCGTCAAGTTTCTGTCGGATTAAACGAAAACCTTCAATCTATCCCTGAAAGTGAGCAAGATCTTCAATCTGAATCGTCAACTGCACCTCAACTGGTTATTTGGGGTACAAATGTAATTGTAAGCCAATGTAAAACAAAGTTCAAAAATTTTTTATTACGTTATATTGATCCTGCTGCAGAACAAGATGAGATATCTGAAAGTATAGATTTAAACCAACCATTGTATATGCAGAAATTAGACGAAATCCATACACTTGAAGAGCCTTATTTGAATATTAATTGTTCTCATTTGAGAACGTTTGATGAAGGTCTTTACAAACAACTAATTTGTTACCCACAAGAAGTGATTCCATCTTTTGATATGGCAGTAAATGAAATGTTCTTCGAAAAATATCCTGCTGCTATTTTAGAACATCAAATTCAAGTGAGGCCATTTAATGCCGAAAAAACTCGTAATATGCGTTTATTGAATCCAGAAGATATAGATCAATTAATAAGTATTTCTGGTATGGTTATCAGAACATCAAATTTAATGCCTGAAATGCGTGAAGCATTTTTCAAATGTATAATATGTGGGTTTTTTACAACTGTCGAAATTGATCGAGGCCGCATTGCAGAGCCTACACTTTGTTCCAATTGTAACACAAATCATTGTTTTCAATTAATTCATAATAGATCGCAATTCACCGACAAACAATTGATAAAATTACAAGAATCGCCAGATGATATGGCTGCTGGACAAGCTCCTCATAATGTTCTTTTATTTGCGCATAATGATTTAGTTGATAAAGTACAACCTGGTGATCGTGTCACTGTAACTGGAATTTATAGAGCTATACCTATTCAAGAAAATCCGAGAGCACGTAATGTCAAAAGTGTTTACAAAACCCATGTTGATGTTGTACATTTTAGAAAAGTTGACAGCAAACGCTTATACGAAGAAGAAGATGGAAAAGATCATATTTTCCCTCCAGAGCGAATTGAATTATTACGAACACTTTCACAAAAACCTGATGTTTATGATCGCTTGGCTAGAGCTCTAGCACCTTCTATTTATGAAAATACTGACATAAAGAAAGGAATTTTATTGCAACTTTTTGGGGGAACCAAAAAGAAACATACAACATTAGGTCGCCAAAATTTCCGATCAGAGCTTCATATTTTGTTGTGTGGAGATCCTGGTACCTCTAAATCTCAACTTTTACAATACGTATTTAACTTAGTTCCCAGATCTCAGTATACTTCTGGAAAAGGGTAAAGATATTTTATTTAACTTTAATATTTTAACAATTTCAATAATATAATTTTTTAAATTTAGCTCTTCTGCTGTAGGCTTAACTGCTTATGTAACCAAAGATACAGAAACTCGTCAACTAGTTTTACAAACAGGAGCACTTGTATTAGCTGACAATGGTATATGCTGTATTGATGAATTCGATAAAATGAATGATTCCACTCGAAGTGTTCTACATGAAGTTATGGAGCAGCAAACTTTAAGTATCGCTAAAGCGGGTATTATATGTCAATTGAATGCTCGAACATCAATTTTAGCAGCAGCAAACCCATCTGAATCACAGTGGAATAAAAACAAAAATATAATTGACAATGTGCAGTTGCCTCATACCCTTCTCTCAAGATTTGATTTAATTTTTCTGGTACTAGATCCTCAAGATGAGGTATTTGATAGAAGGCTTGCTACACATTTAGTATCACTGTATTATGTTTCAAGAGCTGAAGAAGAAGACACATTATTTGATATGAGCGTATTACGAGATTACATTGCATATGCACGGGAGCATATCCATCCAACATTATCAGAAGAAGCACAACAACGTTTAATTCAAGCTTATGTTGATATGAGAAAAGTTGGTGCAGGTCGTGGACAAATATCAGCTTATCCACGTCAATTGGAAAGTTTAATTCGATTATCAGAAGCACATGCTAAAGTCCGTTTAGATGATACAGTAAAAGTTGAAGATGTTGAAGAGGCATGGCGTTTACATCGTGAAGCCTTAAAACAATCTGCAACTGATCCATTATCTGGTAAAATAGATGTTGGTATTTTGACAACTGGTTTATCGACGGCAGCTAGGAAAAAACGAGCTGAGTTAATAGTCGCAATTAAAGATCTATTAAAGAAGAAAGGCAACATTCCAACAATTCCATATCAAAAATTATTTACCGAAATAAAAGAAAACTCACAAGTTTTAGTTACAAAAGAACAATTTGAAGATGCTCTAAAAGATATGCAAGATGAAGGTGTTGTAGTAGTTTTAAGCAAGAATACAATTAAAATATGTTAATACTAATTAACTTCTATTTAATTTAATGTTCTAGTTTTAAATTTGAATTATTTTTATTTTTTATTTTTTGAAAAATATACATAATGTATGTGTGTACTCACTTTATTCGAAAAACCCGAAAAAGATGTTTTTGTTTTTTTTTTCAAAATTTCAGTAACCAAATTTTTTTTATTTTCTTGCAGTGAAGCCTTATCAATTTCGATTTCCAATGAAAATTTGAATTTTCTACTTAAAAATTATTCTGAAATAAGTAAAACAAAATAATCGTATTGTTAATTCAGTATTTAAAAAATATCATTGATGAAATTTAATTAATACATAAGTTCTCCATCATGAATTACATTCTTAGAACATTTCAATATATTTTTTATGACAATTATTATTCATTATTGTTTAAATAGTACCAGTTATAGAATGAAATTTTCATTATTACAATGGAGCCAATTTCAAGTTGCCACAAAAAAGTTGAAAAAAATTATTGTTGTATGCGCACAAGGTTTAGTTGATCTACATACATATGAGGAAAGATATTTATGCATAAAAAGTCTAATCTGAGGTTGCGGGGCCTTACTATATAATTCGATTTTCGTGAATACGAATTGATTGATGCTATTTTACCATTTTTCGCATACGGGAACCGAATTAAAAGTGAGACTCCTGAACACAATATTGAAGTTATTGACTTTTCATTTTCGTGTATGTATAATTTGTTAAGCTTAACAAATTTCAACTTGGCAGAGTACGAAAAACATTTAGAAATACTAAACACATTTTACAAACACAATAATTACATTTTTAAAACATTTTATTGTTTACATATAATTAATATATATATATATAAATGTATATATTCATATAATTTACTGGTTTATAATTTTTTATCTCCTATTCTGTATAATGTCTAATAACATTATATAATTATATATTAATATACATACATAAATAAAATTATAAATATTTAAAATAATGTAAATGAAATTGTCTTTTTTAGAAAAATATACAAAAAATTAATACAATTCGTGGACAAGAAAAAAAATAATATAAGTACGATTTCAATTAATACTAAATAACTTATTTCTAGGAAAAAAAAAATATATAAAATAATAAAATTGAGCAAAAAAAAATGTTTATATAAAAAAATTATATTTCATTTCATGTCTTTAATCGATCTCTGTTAATTAAATTTTCTTTTATTTGAACTTGGGAATGTGTACAAAATTTAATAATTATATTGTTAGTTAATTGAAAAAAAAATATTAATTGTTAGATGTTATTAATAAATGTTATGTACTTATGATATTTTAATGTTAGTAAATAAACTATAATAAAAAAAATGAATGTATATAAATTAAAATTTATTTAAAAAAAAAATTAAATATATTATAAAATGTGGTGTATAATTTTAATCAAGATTCTTTTAGTCACATAACAAAGCTAAATTTAACAAATGCATTACAATCATTGTAGAAATCAGGAATGCCTGAAAATCGAGTCGAATTTTTAAGATATTTTCAATATTTTCCATAAATTATCCTAAATCACCCGACATAAAAATTTATTTTAAACAATAGTTATTGATTTTGAATTGGAAATTCAAAGAACGATTTTTTTTAGAAAATCTTGATTAAAATAAATACACTGGATTATAAATTTATGAAATATTGCAATTATTGTTTTTCTTTAAAAATTTCGAGTATGATTTTTTTTTATCTACATATTTTTTGATTAATATTTTTTTTTTTTTTTTTGAAATTTAATACTGACAAATTATAATTTTTACTTATAGTTTTCATTTTTCGCATTTACAATTTTAGTATCGATAATTTTTAATTGAAAATTAAATATAAAAATGGCAAAAAAAATAAAAATATTACTTTTAATTTAAATCTGATATATTTAAAAAAAATATATATATATATTAAATTTATAGGTAAATTTTGTAGGTATATAAATATTTAATGAATAAATTCTTGGGTATATTTTTTTTTTTAATTATAACAAATTTTATTGGATTATATTGAAAGGAGTTTTATAATAAGGAGAATTATAAATTTAATTAAATTTATGGCAACATTAATTTATGATAATTATTATTAATTTGTTTTTTAACAGCAAAAATGAAAAATTAAATATTTATATAACAAAAAAAAAAAAAAATTCAATACAAAATTTATTAATAATATTTAAAAATGAATCAAGTAACAAAGTTGTAGGGAAATTTTATTTTAATATTTAGAATTTTCAAATCCCTTTAACTTCTTGATTCCCTTCAAAATTTATAATCAAAATTTTTTTTTTAAATTTTTCAATTTTAAATATTTTGTATTGAATTAAAAAAAAAAGAAATTATTTAATATATATATTTTTTTCTTTGTAATTGAATTTTCTTTTAATAACATTTTTTTTTTATTTATAAATATTTATTCCTAATTTAATAGTGTCTTAATTGGATGCTTATATATTATTGTTTTTTTTTTGTTTATTAGTATTTTGTTGTTGTTAAATAATAATTTTAAATTATTTTTGCCTTTTTTTTTATAATTATTGTTTATTTCGAGTATATTGACAAATTTAAATAAAATATATTTTTCTTATGTATGGTCTTTTGTAATACATAATGTTTAAGAATATTATATATTTTATATAATTTATCTTCTTTAGTTATATAAAATTGATTAAAATTTCCGAAATTAAATTTCATATATTGCTTTTTGCATATTAAATTTATATTAATTTTAAATTTTGTCAAATTTAAATTAGTTAATAAATAATATAATTTATTGCACAGTAAATTTTAATCAATTTTTTTTAATTTTTTTGTTTTTATTAAATAGAAAATTTTCTTTTTTTTTTTTTGTTTTACTTTGTATAATCATTTTTATACAATATAATTATATATTAATACATATATTTTTTATAAATGTATCACAGTTGTGTTAGTTTAAATTACTATTTCTATATATATATATATATAATAAATGTATAATATAGATTTTTTCAATCCAATATATATTTTTTTTATTAAGCATTTAACAATATTTTTAGTTTAGTTCTTCTTTACTAATACAAATTTCTATGTTTTTTTTTTTGTTTTTGATATTATATCAGGCATTGAGTTTTTGTAATTACTTTAAATTTATATAAAACATAATCAAATCGAAGAGTCTTGTTTTTACTAATCAGTTATTTAGTAATTAATTAGTACCTTACTAAAGAAACTATATTTTTTAAATTGCGTAATAAAAAAAAAAAAACACTATTATAACTAGATTCATGTAATTTATAAAAAAAAAATATATATTTATTATTTAGAATTAATTAATTAATAATTTCTAATTATTTGTAAAAATTATTAATGAGTCAATATGATGAAGTGAAAAGTTTTTTTAAGACTCTTGATCGTATACATGTGCATATTGATTTTTTAATATTTAACATGTTCTTTTTATATTATTTTAAATTAAACTTAAAGTAATAGTAATTGTGTGCTTCTTTATAATTTTTCAAAAGTGCATCACTTGAATATTACATTTTTATGTATACACTGCTATTAGTATCATTGTTATAATCGATATTTTTTATATTATTTAATTTTATATTATTTTTATATTATTTTTCAACAAAATTGATTTTGCATCTTGTTATTACAAAAATTTATTTAAATGTGTTTTAAAACATATTTATACATAATGTACAATATATGAAATAATAATTTTAATAAAAATTAAATAATGAATTGTGTTTCTTCAATTATCTATGAATTTGAAGTGCATATACCATTTTTTTGTTTTAAATAAATTAAATTCAAATAACATTTATAATATTCAATATTCAACGCCTTTTACATGCTTAAATTATATATTTACATATTTTTAAAATAAATTGTTTAAATAAAATTAAATTTGGGAAAAATTTTGAACAAAAATAAATTGAAAAAATTAGTAATTAATTAATTAGGAAATGTTAATTTATAATATAAATTTGTTAATACTTTCTAAAAAATACATTTTATATAATACTTTTTCGTTTTTTTTTTTTTATGCTTTCTATATGGATTTCGATAATTTATCTCTTTTTTTTTTTTTTTTTGAAAATATTTCAAAGAAATATTTTCTTTAATAACAATATAATTAACTCTTGTGTTTTTAATCTAATAAATTGTTATTAGTCTTATCTTCTAATGGCACCTGTTAATATATTATTAATATTATTATTATTAACTAGAGTATGCAGATTATTATATTATTAAATTTTGGTTAATAATAATGTAACAAAAAACATAAAAAAATTAATCTTGTGTCATTTTAAATTTATATATGTAATTGTATAAGTATAGTTAGCTTCTAATAATACATGATTTATTAATATTATATTATAAAAAAAAAAAATTGAGCAAATATTGAAGATTCATTTGTTGGCATTTTTTTTTTGTTTTACAAAATTAGATTTAGAAATTTTGTGCATTCTTTCTATTATGTATGTGGTTTATGACAAAAAAAAAAATAATATTATTTTTATAGTCAAATTTCGAAATGAAAACAAAAGGATTTCAATTTTACAAAAAGATGAAAATTTAAACATTATCCATTTTATAATGGAGTGGATTCTACTATAGGTAAATTTGTATTAGTGGGATTGTTACTATTATTTGTAAGTGAACGATTTTCATTAAGTTTTTTCCTATTTGGTGATGCAAATCTATTAAAAGTTATTGGATTTAATTTTTTATTTGCATTTTCACGTGATATTGTGCTGATTGTACTATTAAATAAATTTGATTTTCCTACTCCTGATTGTTGCTGTTGTTGATGAAATTGAGATTGTGAATTTATATTATTGTTACTTAAAGTCATTTTATTATTTTCTAATGAATTTTGCTTTATTTTATTACTAGTTTTAAATAAAGATTTACGTTGAATATCATTTGGCGGTGGTATATTTTGTGTTGTTGATGCTAATAACATCATAGTATTTGGATTATTAGGTGAACTATGTTGTTTTGTCATTAAATTACTATTACTAGATTTATGTTCTTTTAAACGTTCATTCATTTTTCTAATGGTATCAGGACTGGTAATTGAAATACGATATTTATTTTTAATTGAATTATTTCCTGTTTCAGAATTCGTTATCTGTTTACCTAAACTATATTTTAAAGGTACATGAACTTCAGTTGTTTTTACATTTATTTGAGTATTGGTAAAGGAATAATCATCTTTAATATCAAGTGTTCTTCCGTTATCAATTGTTATTGGCTCTTTAATATTTAATTGATTTGCATACAAATATTCCTCACCTTTCATTAATTTCTTGGCATTATCAGGATTTTGTTTTAGAAAATTGGATTTTTTCAAATTAAAAAAATTTTGATTAAATATATTTGTAGATTTTTTATCATTTGATTTATTTGAACAATTAATATTTATTGTACTGGAATCATTAAAAGAACCTTTGTTTGATACAAATTTTTCATTACTTGGATTTGATTTAGAAAATAGTTTACTTTGTATTTTATTACTTTTATTACTACTTGTACAAGATTTGTTATTTTGAGTTTGTTCTAATAGTTCTTTCGAATTTAGTAATTTTTTTGGAGATTCATTATAATTAAAATTATGGAAACCAACTGTTGGTTTTAAATCTAAAGTTGGAGATATTTTCTGTTTAAAACTAAAAGTTTTTTCAGCCGGTGATTGAACTCTTGGTTTTTGTCTACTAACTTTTACTAAATTTGCATCACCCCTATCAAGTTGAATTTTATTGTAATCTAATTTTATATTTACTGAAGTAGTATCATCTCCTATATTCTGTATATTATCGTCCGAATCGGAACGCTTAAATAACGAGAAATTACGAAAATTACGTCTTTCAAATATAGGGGTATCATTAATACGATAAACACGACTTTTTCTAATATTTTCTATTTCTTTGTCAATATCACTAATAGATGCAGATGTTGTTGCTGACGGTTGTATAGTTTCATGTTTTGAAAACATTTTAATTGGGGAATTATTTTCATTATAATATTTACTTGAGTTATTACTAAAATAATTTTTCATTGAGGTTTGTGAATTTGACAAATTTTGTTTACTTGCTTCGTCCAATGATTCAAATTTGGATTTACACAAATTGAGTTTGGCTCTAATATCGTCTAAGGCATTTTTATAAGATTTTTCGGCTATAGATTCTTGAACACGTTGAATTGATGATGTAGGTGAAATTACATTTTTTTCATTAGGAATTTGTTTACGTTGTGACTTTATTTGTTGTGAATTTTCATCAGATATAGAACTTTCTAACGAAGACTTACGGCTTAAACTTGGAGATGGCATTCCTGTACCTTTTATACTACCAGTGTTTTTCTGCCCCACTGATTTCCTTGATGACAACGAATTCTTACCAGCTAAAATAAAAAATTATATTTGAAAATAAAATTTTAATAGACATTATAAAATGAAAATACCTGTTCTAAGTTTTCCAGGCGACAAATTCAAATCAGTTGTTTCAGAATGTTTTCGGGACGATATCGATACTGAACAACCTGAAGGAGGCCGTCTTGCTGGGCTAGGGCTCGCTTTTCGAGATAATTTAATTTTCGTGTTTTGCTCAGGGCTAATCATTTTACCTCCAGAGTTTTCTTGAAACTTTTTAGAAAATAACGACGTTGTTCGCTTTTCCTTTACCAATTCAGGGTCGTTAGTTACTTTTCTTTTATCTTTTCCAACAAAACTTTCATTTCCAGAATCAGAATACTGACTGTCTAAAGATGACATTCTAGATATTGAAGGTCTATTCTTGTCTATATTTACTCCATCGCTACCAATATTTGTACTCATATTGTTATCAGTATTTAATGTGTTGGGTAAATTAACATCGATATAATTTAAACTATTGTCGCAACTGGAATCGAAATCTGAGCAATTTTCCAAATCTCTAACGTTATTCAAAGATAAATTTCCATCGCGATTATAATTAATAATAAAGCCCTTTTTACCATAAGGTCTTTCCTTTTCTTTATTTTTAAGTTTTTTTTCTCTGTCTTCATTTAAACGTTCTTGCAATTCACGATCTTTTTCTAAACTATCTTTTACTGCTTGTAGTACCTGTTCCGTAATATCTGGTTTTTTAACTATTTCAATCAAACTTGTTGGTTCGGAAGGAGTGGCCGTTTTATCATTCGAACTTAAAAATGATTCTAAATCATATTTGCCTAGTTCAAAATTTATTTGCTGTTCTTTCTCCGACTGCTTATCCTTTTCACGTTGCGCTGCGGCTTCTTGCTGCATTTTTAACATTCTTTGATGTCGCCTAGCTCGCAAACTATCCCGTATACGATCACCACTTGGCGAAAAATCTTTTCCTAAGTGAGGCGATTTTGGAATGTCACGGATAAAATGATTTTCTTCACTTTTCGGAGTATTTTGAACGTTTAGGGTACTATTATTTAAAGGACCTAAGTCAGCACTTTCAAGTTGATCTGTTAATTTATCAATTAAATCGTTATTTTGAATTTGAGTTTCATTATTAATGAAACAGTCATCAAGATCGTCTCGACTTCGACTGTTTGCATCAGCAGATTTTGGTGTTAAGACCCCATCTGGTGTTGAACTAATAGAAGAACTGCAACTTTGTTGCCCTTTATAGTGTTCTATGTCAAAAACTAAATCGTATGGCATTGGATGGCCAACCGCAACATGCATTGCTAAGGTCTCTAACCATACCTCTAATACTTCAAAAGGAGGCCTAGAAAAATTCGAATTTTTATATATAGCTCATGCAGAGGTTTCATTAAGTTCAACGAAATTCACCTTTTATCTGGATTCAGTTCACAACATAGAAAACCTATTTTATAAAAACATTTAGGACAATTTTGACAAAATTTCTCTTTAAAAACTTCCTGATTTAGACCAAAATCTGAAGTTCTTGGTAAGTAATCCGGATCAGCTTGAACACGGCCAATGATCTAAAAATTTATTATCAATTGCAAGAATATATTTATATTTTTTTTTGTAAAACATTCAGGAGTAAATAATATTGTTTTACAGTATATAATAAAACATACTTCGCATAATATGATTCCAAAAGAGAACACATCAACTTTTTCATCATATTTATTGCCTTTCATCATTTCTGGTGCCATCCAATATGGGTTTCCAACAACGGTATAGCGTTGTCTTCTTTGTCTGCTACGTGTTCTACCAATAGTTCCCGTTCCTCCAGAATTTGTCCATTTATCTGCATTTTGCAAAGGAGAATTTATAATTCTAGCTAACCCAAAATCCGCTACAATAACAGTTTTATCTTCTCGAACCAAACAATTTAACGAATTTAAGTCCCTATGTATTATATTCATTGAATGTAAATAACTCATTCCGCATGCTATGTCCTTTGCAAATGATACTCTCTGTTCCCAAGGCAAAGGTAATCCCGAATCATGAATTAGTTCTTTCAACGAACCACCGGGTATAAACTCTGTAACCAAATGTAACTTTTTATCTTTGTATAAAACTCCAATAAATTTCAAAACATTATGATGGGATAATGATCGCAATACAGCAACTTCCTTTAAAAAATTCCTTTGAGCCTCCTCGTCTACTCTATACAATTCTTTTAGTACCATTACTTCTTTAGTCACTTTATGCGTAACTTTATAAACTTGACCAAAAAATCCTTTACCTAATAATTCCCCTTGAACTAAATCCGAAGCCCGAAAAATCCTTTGAGGTTTTGGCTCAACACGAAAGGATTTTGTGCGTGCTAAATCATACAACTCTGGAACCGGAACATGATTTTCATCTAATAATTTTGACATACTTGCACAACGTTCCTTTTCTTTTAAACTGTTTGTTGCGTTTGAGCAATTTAAATTCAGGTTCTTGGCTTTTCTTAACTGTCTTGTCTTTGTTCCACTAATATAACCCTCATCTTTACGTTTAAAAATTCTTTCTTTTTCTTGTTTTGTCATACGATTACGTTCATTTACCGTTTTATCTAAATTAACAATTTTTGCATTTAATGAGCTCCTATTTGAACTTGTTGGAATGCTTAAATTTATATCACTATCCTTTTTAGAAACAGTTGTTGGTATTATAAGAGATGTTGTACTTGATTTTTGTAAATTTTGCGAATTTTTATTGATATCAACAGTTTGTAATGGTGATGTAGTTCGTGTTGTATTAAGATTGCTACAACTACGGCTGATTTCAATAGGATCATGTTCAATTGTCAACTGCAAAACTTTTTCCGTGCTCTGGATCAAATTATCAATTTGTTCGATTGATGAATCTTTAACTGGTGTTCCATTTACTTCTAAAATTTTGTCTCCAACATGTAATGACATTAGATCCGTATTCACATCAATCCTGTTTCATATACAAGCAAATTTAAATTTGTTATATGGTTAATAGTCTCAAATTATTTTAAGAAAAATAAGTAACTTTAGATGTAATCTTAATAAAAGTAAATAAGGAAAGTTAAGTTTCTTTTAGGGATATTTAATAAATCATGTGAGTTAATTTTTTATATTTTGAGTTAATAAAAAAGTAAAAAAAAAAATAATGTGCTAATACAATTTCGCGCCAACATCTAATAAATTAAATATTAATTAGTACCTATAATTTCCACAGCACGAATCAAATGCTGATGATATGAAGGAAAAAACATATTTTCCTACACGTCCATAAATCCTACAATTGTTACAAAATATTATTATTGTTTAGTATACCCCATATACAAAGATATGGTATTAGTTGGTTATGTTTAAAAAGAAAAAAAGTTTTCTAAGCTATAAAAACTCAATTGTTAGCTTTTCAATAGAAATTAAAAAAAAAAATAAAATTATGAAATATTTTTAAAACAATGAAATCATACTCTGAAATCCGAACACCACGGCATGCTGCATCTGGTGTTACTGGTGTACCAATTTGATTTTCATCTATAGCCAATCGTATGCCACTTTTATTGCCTTTTTTCCATGGAATCTCTATTAAACGAATGGAATGTAATGGTTTTTCTAAACCAGTTGTATTTTTTGACAAAGGACTCATCAATTTTTTATAACAAGATCCACAATATAACTTTGATCTTTCTACCAATGCATATGAATCGCCATCACCAATAAAAGAGGCACAAGAATCACATCTAAAACCTAAAAAAAATGTGATTTATACTTTTTTTTTTGAAAGTCAAAATAAATTTGATTTTATTACATTCTGGATGGAATTTATGATCACCAGCAACCATAACTGGACCAGTTATAACATTTGAACATTGTTGACATGATTCACCAAATTTTGACCAATAATCATCGCGACAAAACAATAAGCCATCTTTTTCAAAATACCAACTAGATAATTTTGCGTCACATGCTGAACATCGAAAACAATCATTATGCCATTCTTGACCCAATGCTGATAAATACTGTTTATCTTCGACAATATTTAGACATCCAGAACATGAGATCATATTATTACTTTCATTATCTAAAAAAGAAAAATTCGATAATAAAAAAATAAGAAAAATTGATATTTTTATTGAAAACTGGAAAATTAGCAGAATATTATAGAATTTTTCAAGTAGAAAAGAGTGGTACCTACAAAGATACATAGGTACATATGTATGTAGGTACTTATACATGAAATTTTAAATAGGCAAATAAAAAATCTACCTATCTATCAACTTGTTTACTAATATCTATATGTGATTTATCTAAAAATACTATCATTTTATATAACAAATCTATGAATAAAATTAGTTAACCTAATTTATTAAGAAATTGAAATCCGTTTTCAGTTTATTCGTGCAAAATTTTTGATAAATATATATTTGATATATAAGTACATTGAAATCAAATCGAAAGTGAAATGATTTCAATCAATTATTTATCAACAAAAGTATGACGCAAAAATAAAGACATTAGAAAAACTTTTATCGAAATGAAAAGTGCAATTTACCTACTTAGTTGGCTAAGATATACCTATACCTATGTACCTATATATCAAAGTAGATATGTAAAACCTGCTAAATCTATTCAAATATTCAAGGTCAATTTTATTTTTATTTAATTTGAAATCATCTACTATGTAGATACTATTATGTGTTTTTCGTTTTAATTATTTTCATCTGCAATTACGAATTCATAAAACACACACATTAATTACCTACTACTATAAAAATAAAAACAAAATAAAAGCAAAGAAAAACATACAATTTGCATTCATTATAAAACATTAAGCATACTCCTTTCCATAGTATTTAATCCGTATTAAAAGCTTATGCTTAATTTCAACTATTAAGTTTTCATATATTAAATTACAAACAACAGATTAGTTTTGTTACTTGTATTGTTGGATAGCAAGGTATATGTATATACATATATTCATTTACCTACAAATTCATATAAGTAGGTATGTATATTTGTATATATTAAAATTAAAGCAGCTGTGTTATGTCTCATACAAGCGGATGAATGTTAATAATATAACTGATATTTTTAAGGGAATAATTATTGAATACAAAAAAATGGGATTATAAATACTTATGTTCTTCATTTACCAAATTTTCTTGAAATTAAAATAATTATATTCAATTGTTAAAATATTTTGAACCTTCCCTTGCTTGTTCTAAATTTTTATACCATAAAAAATATACATGTACATGCAACTATCTTTTCTCATTTATTTTTTTTTTCTTTTTTGGCTCCATAAAGTCTGGCCTTGATTGTTATGAGTTTAAATAAAAAATAATAAATAATTATTATAAAAATTTAATTAATATTATATAATGCTTTAATTTTCTTTAAAAAAAATAAAATATTTTACGAATAACATTAAGATTTTATTCAAAAAAAAAATCAACATATTGAAATTCCAATAAAACAAAAATGAATAATGGCCACTAAGAGTTGTTAATCATCCCACGCTTAAATGTTTTATACTAATTCATAATCTATTATATTGATTTAAATAATATCGCACATTTATTATTTTTTTTAAATAACTATAATTTAATTTATATTTTATTTAAATTTTAAACAATTTTTTAATATTTTTTTTACCGAAATGTTTTTCCATCGTTGCATTTTTTTTTCTTTTTATTGTTTGCGTCGCGAATATTTTTCTTCTTTTGAAGTCGAATCGAAATGAAATGTCACTTTTTTTTCAATAAAAAATTCAATCGCAATTTTTGACAGCATAATATAATAATAAAAATTTAAAACCGTTGTAGGGATGACATGATTTTTAAAAATTCAACATTAATGTTCGTAAGAAGGTGCATAGACGTATAAGTTTCATATAAAATGTTCTGTCAATAAAAAGATAACATTAAGAGTGAGAGTATTGGTGAATTTATATTTGCAGTTGCAAATAATAACTACAATCATAGCCCGTTTGAGATACTTCACTGTCAAAAGCAGTTCGTTATAATTTGTGGTTCTGCAGCAAGAAAATTGTGTTATTTATTAAATAAATTATTTATTTATTTATTTTTTTTTTCACAATTTTCGCATTTTTTAGCAAAAATTGTACATTTGCGTTTTTATTAGCAGAACCACTTTATTCAGACATATCGTGATATTGTTCTAAGTCTATTGTTATTTACTATTATTATAAAGTAGATTTTTACTACATTTCGCTTTAAAGTGGTTATACTATTGATAATGAAGACTCATATGTCATTGACATCGCTTTGCCATCAAAAATCTAAACAACCATGTATTTGAAGCCGACTTCAAAATTAAATATTTAATTTTGAATATTCAATTATAAAATTAAAAAAGATAATATTAAATTTTTTATTGTATAAAAATGTCTGGTATATTAGGACATTCTCAATTTTTTGGAGAAACTGCATCTTTATTTGCTGACGAAAAAACTGTAAATGCAAGATCAAAGGTAATTTCCCATTATTAATTGAAAGTTTCGTGGGATGACAATAGAAAGTACTTAAATTTATTTTTTTAAATGTTTTGTAGATTATAGAATGGTTAGATTCAACTGCAACTGGTACAACACAAGAAAAATGTGAAGCTCTTGTTAAAATTCAAGAAACACTGTTAGGGTCAAATATTGAGCTTCTTGATGAATTTCTCGAAAATATAATTGCAATGGCACACGATCCAATTCAAGAAGTAAGAAAATCTGTTGTTGGAGTTATTGAACAAATATGGTATATATTATGGTAATATCTGAAATTTTTAAATGATTTTAAGTTTTTTAAAAATTTTAGTAAAGCAAAAATTGAATACACTCCAAGAATAGTCCGTCCATTGGCTATGTTGTTGCGCGACTCTTCACCTCAAGTCATCAAAAGAGTGATTCAGGCAATGGGGTCAATTTATAAAAATTCATTGAAATGGATTTGCACAACATCAGATATAACCGAAAGTATTGAAGACGCATGGGCAATTCTATGCACTATGAAGGCTCAAATATTGGATATGATTGATCATGACAACGATGGAATTCGTACAAATTCAATAAAATTTCTTGAAGGAGTTGTAATTCTTCAAACATACCCCGATCAGGACAGTATGAAAAGAGAGCAGGATTATTCATTAGAAGATATACCTTTAACATTAAAAATAGTTCGTAGAAGAAAACTGGAGGACGAAGCAAATGATATATTCGATTGTCTACTCAAATTCCATGGTGCAGTACACATATCCTCAGTAAATTTAATCGCATGTACTGGATCACTTTGCACAATTGCCAAATTGAGACCATCATTAATGAAAAGTGTGGTTAAAGCAATCGAGGAATTACATTCCAACCTACCACCTACTTTAACTGATTCTCAAGTAAGCTCGGTACGAAAAAACCTTAAAATGCAGCTTTTAAATTTGTTAAAAAATCGTGGTTCATTTGAAATGCAAGGAACAATTATAGCATTACTTAAAGATTTAGGTAGTTCACAGCAAGAAATCATAAAGGCTATCCCAAAAATGGATAAACAAGAACAACAACGTCGAACCAAAAGAGCCTTAGAGAGCGCAACAAGTTCAGTTAGTAAAAAATCTAAAATTTCAAAACCTGTAGAAAAGCAACAATCGCTTGAAATCGACTATGAAGTTATTGCAGAGCAAAGAACAAAAGCTATGAAAGTAAATGAAAAATATATTGTCGAGGCATTAAAAATTCCAGAGAACGTAGTTAATTTAGTAATAGCATGCATAAAACATCTTCCTAATGAAGCCCCAAGTCAGTTTATTAAGGAATATAAACCTTTTGATGGATCAAGTCACTCTGAACAAATTACCTATGTATCAAGAGCTTTAGCGGAAGCTATGTCAGATGCAAAAATAGGACCTGGATCTAGCTGTTTTTCGAAGGAAATCCCAATGAAGGTTGTAAATATTACAGAGGATTCGTACAATTTGGACGACGAAACTGGTATTATGGAGGTTGATGAAGAGGAGACAACTAATGAAGACTCACAAAAGAAAGACGAAGCAACGAAAAAATTGAGGGAAACTATGGAAAAACAAAAAGGGTAAGTGATAACTATAAAACATAATTAAATACAACTATTACTTTTATAAATATTTTAGAGAGCAAGCTATGATAGCTAGAATGAAGCAAAGGGCAAAGGCGCTTAAATTACAGGAAATTACAAAACCAATTTCGAGAGTAGAAAAAGAAAACTTTTTAATAAAAGCTGTGAAACGCATATTAAATTCAGAAGGACATTGTACCATTGGTGGCGTTGCTACAAAAAGACGTAAGATATTAACTGTAATGGCAGCGACTTTCCCTGATAAAGTTCGGGAAATAATTTTTAATTTTATAATGGAAGACATAAAGAACCGTTTGGATCTTGGATTTAGCTGGCTTTTTGAAGAATATTGTTTGTTTCAAGGATTTACAAGACATACTTATGTTAAATCAGAACATAGACCTGATTATGCCTATAATCAATTGATGATGCATTTAATTGAAGGGATTTATGAAAGTTGTGATTTTAAGGACAAAGTAAAATTACTAAGAAAGCTTTTTTTAGAAGCACCACTGTTACCAGAAGATTCAGTTAACATGTTAGTTGGAATGTGTGAAGAGCCAGAGTTAGGACCACATTGTTTAGAACTGATGCGAGATTTAACAATTCGTCGTCCACCAAGAAAATTGAAATTTGTTAAAATTCTTTTGAATTATTGTGTACACGAAAATGTTGCGTTAAGAGATAAAGCTATAGAAAATGTTGTTAACTTGTATTCTGTTCACAAAGTTGTTACTGATAAAATACAATTGTTTGCAATACAATTCCTAGAATTTATTGAATGCGAGAAACCACCACCATCAATGTACGGGAAAGAGTTCGGTCGTTTGGAACCAGATACAGCATGGCATGAGGAACTAACAAAAATTTGTTTAGGGTTATACTTAGCAATTGTGCCGTATAATGAAGGTAATTAAATTCTTAAAGTTCTTAAAAACAAACATTATTTTTAACTTAGTTAATCTATTTTGTAAATTATAATATACTTTTAACGAAGAAATTTAATAGAAGAAATGAAAAAGAATGAAAAATAGCACGGGGGAAAAATGATAATTTTAAAAGTAATTATTAAGAAGGCCCATTAGCTCAGTTGGTTAGAGCGTCGTGCTAATAACGCGAAGGTCGTGAGTTCGATCCTCCCATGGGCCAAATTTTTTTTTTTACAAACTTTGTGTGATTTTTCACAATGTTTTGATTAATTTTTTAAATATGTATTTTAAAGTTCGTTTCAATTTATATGTGCAAAATTGCGTTTATATTAAAATTTTAATTCATTGTCAAACCAAAAATATAAAAAAATGCAAAAAAATAATGGCCCATGGGAGGATCGAACTCACGACCTTCGCGTTATTAGCACGACGCTCTAACCAACTGAGCTAATGGGCCTTATATACACCATCCACAAATATCATATATAATTTTGATACATCTTCAAGTTTCCAAATTAGTAATACACATTTTTTTTTTTATTCCGTAGACCTTTTAAAAGAACTAGTTAATGTTTATATACCAACAAGTCCAGATTTAAAACGTACGATACTGCGTTCAATAGATACAACAATAAAAAAAATCGGTCCAAATTCTCCCAAACTTTTAGAAATGATAGAGGAATGTCCAAAAGGAGCCGAAACACTAGTTACCAAAATAATTTATATTTTAACTGAACGTACTGCCCCCACAACTGAATTAGTAAACAAAGTTCGTGAACTTTATCAAAATAAAGTTAACGATGTTCGTTTATTAATACCAATAATATCTGGACTTACTAAAAAAGAAATAATCAATGCTTTACCCAAATTTTTAAAATTGAATCCAGTTGTCGTTAAGGAAATTTTTAATCGCTTATTAGGAATTGGACCGGAATTCTCTCAATTTGATATGCCAATAACACCTAGTGAGCTTTTAGTTGCGTTGCATAACATCGAAAATTCAAAGTGTGAACTAAGACTTGTTATGAAAGCAACTAGTATATGTTTAGATGAAAAACAAATTTATACTCAAGAGATATTAGCATCGTGTCTTCAACAATTAGTTGAAATTTATCCATTACCAACATTATTAATGAGAACAATGCTGCAATCATTAACTTTGTATCCAAGACTATCAATGTTCATAGTAAATTTATTACAACGTTTAATATTAAAGCAAGTTTGGAAAGTAAAAGTTATTTGGGATGGATTTTTAAAGTGCTGTCAACGTTTAAAACCAGATTCTTTTGGTGTACTCTTACAATTACCAGGAACACAATTAATTTCAGCTCTTAATGAATGTCCAGAGCTTCGAACTCCAATGTTGGAATATGCTGTAAAAGTTAGAGACACTCAAAGTGGTTATGTGTCTCAGCAAGCTATGGATATTTTATTAGGAAATACATTGGATTTATTCGTTACCGTAACTAATATTTTCTACATTGCAATGGATTGTAAAAAAAACATTTTTAATTTTTTTTATATCATTTTAGGATGAAACTGGAGGATATATGCAGCTTGAAAATATTAAGAAGGAAAATATAGACGTAGAACAGTATGTTGTACCAATAATTTCAACTAATACACTTCCTGTACCCATTTCTCAAATAAAACAAGAACCTGGAAATCGTATAAGTCAATCTGGTGGGCAGCAACCTTTACCACCCGGCGAAGAATAATTTTCTTGTTTTTTTCATAAACCTCTATTGATAGAAAAAAAAAACAAATAAATTTTAAACAAAAAAATATATTAATGCTTTTTTTTTATTTAACAATAGACATACGTACTACAAAAGCAATAAAGACTTCGTAATAAAATGAATAAAACTTGATTTATTTCTACTCAAGATGTTAAAATTTTATTTTTGATTCAATTATATAAGTAGATAAGTATAAAAAACTTAAAATTAAAATTTACAAGGTTTTATTTATTGTAAAATTTACAGCACTGTCTGAAGAGTTTTCTTAAAGCGAGTTGCAAAAATAAATATTGACCCACAAAAAGAATTTTTATCAATAATAGAAATTTTTTAAATGTGCTTAATTAAAGAAATTTTTCAATTGTTAACATTTTAATTGTTAGTTTTAAAAATGAGATGAAAGAGAAAAAACAAATTTAATATTAGAAAAACAAAAAAGTTATTTTTTTTTATTTTAGAATTTTCACTCTATATTATAAACAAAAGTTTTGTTTTAATAAAACTTAACATTTTTTTATAATGAATATCAATAGTCAACCAAACGTTTTGTGCTACTAAAAACTTTTGGTGAAGATGAACTAATATTACCAATACCACTTTGATTGTCATTAGTTCTATCTCTCTGTCTATTGTAATTATTATCCTCTCTACTACGATCACGTGGTCTCGTACGATTATAATTTCGCTCACGTGATTTGGATCTAGATCTACTTCTATAGTTTCTTGAATAATTACGGAATTCATCACGACGTCGATTATTATATCTATCGCGGTCACGATCAATCTCACGATACGATGATGTTCGACGATCGCGACTGCGACTTCTTTGACGATATTTATATGGTTGATTTTGCCGATGTCGTGAGGAACTACGTGAACGTCTTCTTGAATCTCTTTTATAATCCATTGAATTAGATCTACGCCGACGATTAGTATTATTATTACTATTAAATCCTCTACCAATTGTATTGCTTCCAATATTACTTCCACGATTTCTACTCGAACTACGTCTTTTTGTTTCAAATATTCTTTCTTGTGATCTTTTTCGATGTTCCCTATCTCGTGGGGTCCTTGATCTTGATTTACTTTTCGATCTTGACCTTTCTTTAATTAATTTAAGAGCATCTTTGTTTATAACAGGTGCAGCACTGATTGAAATTACTGTTGATTGCTTTTCAGAATCTGATTCTGATGTGTTTGCTATTGGTGATGGTGTTCCATATTTATGACGTAATTCACGTTGCCTATGAAACATTAAATAATGGAACAAAGAGTGTATTACATTTATTTTATATACAAAAATTACCGTCTTCTAAGCTTAAGTGCCAGCTCACGCATTTCATCTTCTCTTTCTTGTTGCTGTTGGATTTGACGTTCAGTTCTTTCTATTTCTGCTTTTTTATCCGCCTTGTCTATTTGTTTTTTGTAGCATTATAGTCAAAATTTAGTCTTCATAAAATTTAAAATAAATACTCACATTGCTTGTTTAATAAAATTTGCATTTTGCGTTTCAAACGGTCTCTCGGATTTATTTTGCCTTGCCCCTGAAAAATATTCAACTTCGAAAAGTTTAAAAACGTTCAATGCATATTTGAAAATTTTGAAAATTTTTATACTAATTATTAAATAATGTTACATATGTAATTAAAATAATGTTTTAAATTTCATATTTATTGTTAAATAGTTAATGATATTCCTTTAACTAATTATTTATTTTGTTAAATTAATTAATATTTTAAATCGGTATGAAAAGTAATTGAAACTAAAAATTTTCTTTGAATATTATGCAAGTTTATATTATATAAGAATTTTATTAATTTTTATTCATTTCTTTTTCGTATTGCAATATTACGTATATATACACATTTTGCATTTATAATTTACCAAAATAGGCAAAACTGCAATGTAAACGCTTCAGAAAATTTTAAAAATTTCATTTAAAAAAAAAGAGTTACAAAAGAACCGGTTCCAAATTTTACTTTTACATTATAAAATTTGTAATATGTTAGATTTTGTAAAATAAAAAACTCAAACACAAATTTGTTTGATCTATTCTTAATAAATTTTTACGCTTCATTGAAAAATAATTTTGAAATTGTCATTATAAAATCTTTTCGACAGGGAGTAGATAAAATCACAAGCAAAATAATATATTTTTGAATTATTCTTACTGACTTTGGCATCGTAGGTAGAACAGTTCGTGTTAATGGTACCTGAATTACCAGCACCAGAATTTCCACTAATATTATTAGCAACTACAGGAAATGGTTCAGAACTAAAATGAAATAAAATTTAACAATGTTTTTGTATTAAAAGAAAAAAATAATTTACTTTGAATTTTCATTAACATTTTTATTATCCGTTTCATCTTCAGTACTATTATCCTCGCCAGAATTTGAGGAAGACTCATCACTTTTTCGTCGACCATAGTAACGTTTTATAGGAACTTCTACCTCATTAGGAGAACTGTTCGGCTGAGGATTAAATTGCAACGGTTTTGGCGACTGTTGTGGTCGTATAGGCGATAATGTAGGTTTATTAAATGTGATTATTGGCTGGGGTAATTGTGATGTTACAGGAGGTTTTGCTACTTGAACGATACCACAGGTTAATGGCACGTTTGTTGATTCACTTGGATTAAATGTACTATTACTTGGAACAATATATTCCCCAAAAGTAAACGGTTTTTCTGAAATAGTTTGATTTTGAAGTTCACTTTCTTTGTTTACTACTTCTATATTTGCTTTTGATTTTGGAAGAGATTTTGATCTATCACGTGATTTCGATTTACTACTGTCTGTATAAGATGATGGACTTTTCCTTTTTCGGCTACTTGTATAACGCATTTTTGAACGTCTTGGACTTCTTGATCTCGAATAATCATGTTTTCGATGCACAGATCTTGACTTTGATTTCCTGCGAATACTGCTACCTCTTGAATCGCTTGAACTTGAAGATCTTCTTCGACGACTCCTGTAACTACGATCCCTACTACGACTTCGACGATAATTTCTGCTACCACTTCTCTTATACATACTTCTGCTGCGAGACCGTTTTTTATAGCTTCTGCTACGACTTCGAGTTCTAGTTCGACTTCTTAAGTATTGCTTAGGTACTTTGGGAGATTCCGGACTTTTTCGTTTCTGTATTTCATTGATTTCCTTTAGTTTCGCAAGATTTTCCTTCACTTTTTCAGCGTAGCTAATTGTACTACCGCTGCCAAAAGGCTTATTTAAATTTATTGAAATTTTTGAATGAGGTTGCAGTTCGTCTTCTCCTCCAAATGAAGTAATGTACGTAATTTTCCCAGAATTTTCTGGTGAAGGTGAACGGGAATCAGCACTTTCGTTTTCTTTTTCCTGTGGCTCTTCTTTCGCAGCATAACTAGGCGGGCTCAATGGTCGTCCTATAAACCTCCTCTCCCTCTGAGCTCTACGCTCTCGTCTGCTTTTCCTCCCGCTTAACATTATTTTTTCAGCTTCTTCTTCTCTTGCCATACGAAGCGCCTCCGCTTCGTCTGCATCTTTATGCAAATAGGAAAAGAAATCATTTCCCAACATTCCATAATTACGACCACACCCATTTAATTCATGGGCTTGGGTTGTATCTAATTTTGTGATTTCAATTGAAACATCCATATCTAGATCAGATTCCGAGTCATCATCTTCAACATTCGAGGTTTGAGGAACAGTAGGAGCACTTAGTATATGACTGAAAGGCGCCGATGAACTATCATTATCTTCATAATTATAACCTATTGCAGCACCAGAACCAGTGGACGGTTTCTTTTTAGTAGTTGCTGTACTTTGAGTTGTTCCGGTGTTGGGACTTGTGATATCAGTTGGAGCATTTGCTCCAAATTGTTCTTCTAAATAAAGTTGATGAAGAAATTTCTCTTCAGATATATTTAAAAAGTCATTTTGTGCTAGTATTCTATATCTTTCATAATTGCATTGCCTTTCTTCTAATGTCAATTCCTCCGGTTCATTACTTTTTTGAACTGCCGGTATATAATCCAAATGAGCTCTAACATCAAATCTATCTATCAAATTATCCTTCTGACCTTGCCAGGGAACACTAAAATAAAAATATTGTTACATTTTTCATGCTCAACTTTTTTTTTCTATTATCAAAATATTAATAAGTTAAATTTCTGTATGCTTAATGAGTGTATTGTGAATTTTAATTTTTTTTTTCTAAACAAAAATATTTTTAAAAATTTGCAAGAAAAAACTTATTAGAAATTGGCATTTTAATGTCATATTATTTTATGTATAAGGATATGTGTATATAGTTCGAAATATCACTTGCATGATAGCCGAGCCATCGCCTGCTGCTGCTATTGCTGAATCTAAATGTATTTTACATTTTCTGCCATGAACTTGCATAAACTGTGTTGGATCAGCTTTCTAATATTAAAAATAAAAAGTAAAATTTATATAAAAACTTCATTTAGATATTAAAACACTTACAATTTTTTCATAAAAATCTTGCCGACGCTCTGCTCTTTTTCTAAAATCTACAATCATACCACGAATTTTCCTTTCTTGTTTTCTAGCTTCATGCCACATTTTTTATAGCGCTAATATATCACAAAAGAAGATTAATATTTATATATTTCATAAAAGGTAATATGATCTCATTTAATTTTTATTTAAGAACTAATTTTTTTAAATAAAATATACAAGAAATATTTTTTGATTGCCGGAGTTCTTTGTAAAATTTTATCTAATTTGGTTTATAGTGTTGCCAAAATATTTGAAAAAATATTATAATTTAAGATTTCAAGTGAAGAACTAAAGATAAGTTCATACGTACAGATAATAATTTTAGAACAAAAAATTCTTGCTATAAAAATATATGACATAACGTTTATGGAGAAAGAAGAATTTGTTATTATCCAATTATTATTATGAATTATTATAAATTTTTTAAGACAATATTAAAACAAAAGTGTCATGTCATGTAAGACAATTAAATTAAATTTTTGAATGAAATAGTTTTAATTGAAAGTGACAAATTTTTAATTTTTATTTGTACTAAATGGAATATTTTTATTTTTAAATTACGACTATAGGAAATTAATTTCAAAAAAAATTTTTCCATTAACGCGGAATTTTGATTTCCCTTAAGAAAATTTCAATAAGTATAAAAATTTGTAATTAAATTAAGAATTCATAATATTATTTTAGCACATGAATTTATTATTTAAATAACTTTCGAATTTTCCCCTAGATAACGCTACTATTTACATTTAATGTAGCGTATAATTTCTGATTAGAAATTTCGTGGGTTCATGACTTTGCTATTTATTGTATTAATATTTGAATAAGGTGTTGCCTTTATTATTCTTAACAATATTTTTTTTGAATTTAGATGTTTAATTCATAATAATTAATTTATGTACTTATAAAACTATGTATTATTTAAATATTTAAGCATAAGAATACAATAACTGTTATAAACTGGCTAAATAATTGTAATAAATATATTTTTTAGAGTAAAAAACATTTGTTAAATATTATATCTTCAATAATTGATTGAAATTTTCTCCATTTCAAATTAAAGAAAAATATATATTAGAAGTATGAATTTTTATTTCCCATTGTGCTGTATGTTATGTATATCAGTTTTGTTATTTATCATCATGGAAATTTCGTCATTTTATTTGCACACAATATCTTTTAATATATAAATATAACATTTCTTTTTCTTCAAAAATATCTATATTTATTTTCTTGTTGTCCTTTATTATTAAATAAAACTGAAAAAAATAATCATGTTATATAAATATATATAGTTATATATATTTATTTAAATATATAACGCAAGAATATTAAGATTTTCACATATGAATTTTTTTTTTCATTTACTTTTTTATCATTTATATTCGCCTGGTATTATTCTAGAATATAAAAAATTCTTTTAAAATAAATATAATTTTTTTTCCTCTCATATTTTACCGTTATATTATACATATATGTTTTTATTTTTCATATATATGGTATATTATTATGAACATATAAAAAAAACCTCACTTTTTCTCCATATTTCAAATTATAAAAAAAAAGAAACGCATAGCCTCTTATAAATTTTTACAAATCCCTCACTTTTTTATGGTTTTATGAATATCATTGTGTAAATATGTGTGTGTGTGTGTGTGTAAGTATATATATAATTCACATATGCATTCATTTTTCTGGGAAAACCTTTTTTTCTTATTTCCATTTCTCTATATGCTTTGTTTTTGTTTGTTTTCCTTTTTGTTTTATTTAATTTTATTTCCTTATATCCTTTTTATATCCAGATCACGAACATACACACTAGATTTTTTGTTTCGTTTTTTTTTCTTTTAGATTTTCCTTTTTAATCTTTTGTTTTCTTTTCTTGTATATTCTTTCACTTATATTCTTATACATATGCATACATACATACATACAAAGATAGTGTAATATTTGATAAATTCTTTTATTCATTCTATATAAGCATTATAAGTAAAAAAAAAAAACACCAACAAAGAAAATTGATGAGGAGCATAAGGATAAGAATTTTTAATTTTCATTTTTTTCTTCTCTTCTATACTTAAAAACTTTCAAGGATAAATTTCTTAAGAGTACAGAAAAGTCACTTTTTTTTTATTTTATTTAATTTTTATTACTTTTGTTTTTTGTTTTATGCTTTATTTTTCATTTTATTCAACTATATACCTATATCCAATACATGTGATATATATGATTAGATGGGGAGAATTATTATCGTATATAATTATTGAGTATTCCTTTCACATACATGTAAAAGAGAAAATTTACAACAGCAAAATAAAAATAAAATAAAATGTTTAATTTTATTTGTTTTTCTTGTTCATTTTATAACAAAACGAATTCGCTTGATTAAGTAAAATTTAAATTAAAATCACGTTTAATATAAAATATATTGGTGGGTCCAATTGGATATTATACTTCTTTTTTTTTAATATACATATTTACATACTACATGTTTACTATATAGTATGTTTACATATACACACATATATGATATGAAACAAAATATGTGGTATCGAATATACAATTTTTATATGGTGTACTCGTATACCTTTAAACAGTAAAATATGGAAAAGTTTGTGAGAGAAGAAAATTTTTAGAGGTTTACAGAGAATAAAACTTAATTATATAATTTCTGATTTGCTCAACAATAACATTCGAAAGTGAATATTAATAAAATGTTCTTTTCTTCAACTCTATATACCTTGATAATTGTATGGCTATACATTTTCTAATTCTTATACGCAGGATTCATCTATGATCATTAATGTAATAGAAATGCGTACATGTTAAAGATGAAATAATTAAATTTTTTTACTTACTATTTTCATCTTAGAATCTATTCTTCTTGTTCAATCAGAAAATAATCAGAAATCAGTTAATACCGAATTATAATCTAGATATTGTTGTTTAATCTAAATCTTAAGTTATTTTAGTAATTACAAGCATTGTAAATCAAATCATTGTAAAATTATTTTGTCTAAAACAAAAATTTTTTAAAATTTGAAAATTTTTAAATAAATTACCTATAATGACAATTGAGGACATAAAATTCCAAAAATTTAAATGACAATTTTGTTTTAAATTGAAAAAAATTCAATTTGACAGCAAGTAATTAATGATAGCATTTTCATATTAATGACGTATTTCAAAATTATACTATAAAATATAGCTGTGTTTACACAATGATTTTTACATCAATGGTTGACATACCTTTCATTTACCATGCAAACTTAGTTGGCAATTGGATATGAAACCGTAGATGCCAACAAGTAATGAAATTATTTTAGAATCCACTGTACAAAAGTAAATTTTAGCCAAGATCAAAAAAAAAGAAAAGAAAGAATTAGAAAAACAAAGGTTTTGTATATATATGTTGTATATTTTGAAAGTTTTAACAATGTACAATATATACAATTATTTTTTAGTTTTATAGTTATATACACATTACTCATACACATTTAATATTCTATATGAATTTTTCTTCTCCTATATATTTTTTTTTAATATTGAAGTTTTTATTCCTTATAGTGTTTATAATTTATTACTGAAACATTTCAAAAAAAAAAGTTTACTTTTTTTATATTTATAAAGGTATATTTTTAAGAATATTGTATATATTCTTTTGTTCAAAAATACAAAAGTTTTTCTATCCAATAAATACAAAATTTATATTTGAAATGATTTATTGGTTAATATTTTTGATTATAAATTTGACATTTTTATTTTTCCCGGGGAAAATGATAAATGTGGTTAATATCCTTTATTACAAAATTCTGAAAAAGACTTAATTTTATAGCAAGAAAAATCATAATATTCTAAAAATTGTACATTTAATAAATTTTTAAACAATAATTTAATAAATTTAATTTTATTCTTTTAATTTACAGAAATGATTAACACAAATCAGTAATTTCTTCAAAATTACTAAAAATTCAAAATTTAGGTGACATTTTGCAGTAAAAATTTTGTTTTATGTATCATTGTTTCATTTTTCCTAAGTTTTAATTCTAATAAACGCTAATTGTGAAATTCTCTTGCTTGGTACTTTTGTAAACATTAATGTAAACAATTACATTCTAGTTATATAGCGTGAACAGCGTTGAAGCAGTTTAACGTACACTTATTTAATTATTACGACATTAGCTTGCAGTTTACGATTATATTCATCTCTTATTTTGTAGGCTCTGTAAATTTTTTTTTTAACAATAACAAAATTTAATATTAATATTGTTAGATTGTACCGTGTATTTTTTTGCATTATACTCTATATAATATATAAATTAGTTAAGAATGGGAAATAATCCTCGTTTTTTCTTAATATTCTTCATATTTGAGCTCCAAATTTATTATTAATTTTTTAACAAAATTTTATTTCAAAACACGTTCCAAATTTTTAAACAATATCATTTTTTGATAAAATAAAATATATTGTGTAGATCACCCCTTAATATTGTACAAGCATATAACTGCAATATATTTTTATGTATTTCAACTATATAAAACGATTATATTATATTATTTTGGTATATCATAAAAAAGGTTAATATAAATTGTTTATACTCTTATTTAAAATATAATTTGATCTCATATAATCATAATAATATTTCAGTATATATATACTATACATATATAAGTATGTAATATACATATAATAAGATATATATATATATAGAATAAAATTACCGGCAAAAAATTTTTGTTGATTATTCCTGCAGTATACTAAATGCGGAGCTATTTGTATAAATTTTCATTTACAATATTAATAAATTTATAAATAAAGTAGTTATAAATGTATACATAATAATAAATATCACATTATATATGTTTTAATTAAAAATTTTAATATATTATATTATGCTATAGGTATATTTCACATGCTCATTACTATATAAACATAAATATTTAGTTACAAAAATTTTTTGACTAAAAACTATTATATATAAAGATATGTATACTAGAATTACATATTGTATTGTATATATACATATATACATATAGATGTTAATGGTACTTGAATATAAACATAATTAATATTGCAATATATTTTTGTAAATAAATGAGAACTTATAGTTGAATTGAAATTTTCACTTTAAATTAAATTTTTAGTAATATTATGAAACTTATATTATTTAATTGGATTATATACTAAAGAATAACAATTAAATTACGGCAGTATTTACATAAATTTAATAAA